AAACAATTTCCAACAAGCAAATTAAGAGAAAAAATGGTTAAGGATATGAATTCAGAGGAAAAAAAGAAACACTTTTAAAATTTAAAGATATGATCAACCCCAATCATTACAAAATGAATGCAAATAAGAATTACATCTGGATAACAAAATTTCAATTAATGTATTTGGCAGAAAGCAAAATTCCCTTACTCTACTGTATTAGGACACAGAGAAACAGTCATTCCCATGTGGTGTTGGCGCAGCAGCAATGTCACAGCATCTATCACAACTGTAAATGAGCATATACTTAAATTTGATAATTCCACTTTTTAAAAGTTAATCCTATTCCATAAAAATATAATTACAAATATGCTTGGAGCAGTACATTAGCAAAAGATTGCGAGCATCCTAAATATTCATTTTAGGGAAATATCTATAGAAATAAATTTATGTGATAGCAAACTATGAAGCACTCAAAATAAATGAGAAATGCCTGTATATGAAAGCCCTCTTTGATAAATTAAGTAATAAGTGAAATATGCTATTATTTGTGAAAACAAATAAAAAGAAACCACTTCAAAAAGAAAGAGCCTGAAAATCGGGAATGAGTGATAAAAATATGCTTATATTTTGCACTGTCTGAATTCTCATCTATTACAGCTCAAAAAGAATTGTGTGTGTGTGTGTGTGTGTTCATATCTTTAAAAATCTTTTGAGGACAAAAATATGAATTTTCCATTCACTTTTGAAGTGCTAAAACAAATCAAGGAGTGAGGGCAATTATTTGTAGTGTTGCCAAAACAAATATAGAGAAATGAAATTAATGTGTTGTCAAGGTTTTGTTGTTTTGGTTGTATTTTTAGTTGTTTTAACAACTAAGATTTAGGAGACACTCAAGTCTGATTGTACATCAGAATGAACCAATTGGAAATGGAGATACTTGTGGCTCCAAATGGGGTCAGGTTGAAAAACCCCCTGAAGGCTTAAGAGATAAAATTTAGGAGAATACAGTGGTTCATCTGTGATTATCAGAACTACTTCTATTATAATAGGCAGAGTGAAGAACGCTATTAGATTTGTTTCATGTGAAAGTGACAAGTCTCTAGTGGAGGAGTTGACCTCATGGGAGCAGAGTCATTTTAACAGGTAGAATATAACACTATGCATACTAACATAGCTACATTATTACATATTTAAGTAAGTAAAAGAAGAGATTTTGATATCCTGCATCTAATTAATCCATGAATTATAAGATTACATCATCTTCTGAAGGGGAGGCTTCCAGGAGGTGAGGGAATCTTTGAGACAAGATGAATCAAAGGTAACTCAGTCATCCCAGATAATGGGAAATTGAATAGGAGTGTTAGGCAGGCTTGGGTGTGTTTGAGGCATATGGTTAGCAACTGAATGTTAGACTGGTTAGACTGCCTGTGTTCAGCTATTAGGATACAATTATGGTACCTGTGGTATTTGGGTTCTATGAAGTTGGGATATTGACAATGATGGCAAGAAGGTAAGAGGGTGCTTTGGTTCGGATGTGGTTTGTCCCCCAAGGGCTTGTGTCAGAAGCATGGTCCCCAGGATGGCAATGTGGGAAGTGATATGGAACTTTGGGGAGGTGGAGACTGATGAAAGATCTTTCAGTCTCTGGGAGTGTGCCCTTGGAGGGGATTGAGATGACTTTTGTGGGTTCCCTAGGTTGGTTCTTGTTAGAGGGCTGATATAAAAGAATAAAATTAACAAACTTGACCACTGCACATCCTTTTCAACTTCTTGTCTTGTGATGTGATCTCAAGCGCCCACAGGTGCTCCCTCCATTGTGATGCTTCACCAGGGACTGAGCTGATGCCATCACCATGTCCTTGCACATTCATAACTCTGAGCTAAATAAACATTTTTAAAATAAAGCTATCATGCCTCAGGTACTTCATTGCAGTAACAGAAAATGGACTAGTTACAAAGGTAATAAATGTCTGCAATTGATTATGATCAACCTTTGAATCTAATCTAGGCTAAAAGCTAAATGAAAATGGAAGAATAGGATCGGAGTGATCTGTATTCCTTCTATCAATAGTCACCGGGGGATTAGTGGAGAAATTGAACAAGAAGGATAAAAAGTAGGGCAATGTGAGATTTAGTTTTGAATGAAACGAGATTATAGGGTAGAACCACAGAAGCGAATGACTGTTGAAGAGTAGGGAAACGCACTGAAATCAAATTGGGATTTTTCTCTTCCCCATTTTTTAAAAGCTTTGACAAGTAGTGAGTACTGCATTTTATCAAACACATTTCAGCTTTTTGAAAATGAGCTACTTTTTTTCTCATTGGATTTGATATTTCTAATATTTAACCATTATTCCATGGAATACAAACATTTGAAAACAGTGATTTTTTAATAATTTGTTTTATGTAATTTGTTAGGGTTTTATTTTGAATTTTCATATTTAAAATCATAAAAGTGATTATACTTTCCAGGCTATACTATCCCCAAAGCCTCATCACATAAATTTCCATTCTTTTCTATGCTCTTGACCACATGATTTGTCATGGAAATGTTAAATCTGGGCTTTATACTTTTATAATGTCATCTGTTATAATTCAGTTTTATGTGGAAATAATTTTTCAGTGTGTGTTTTTCATTTTATTTCCTATTTCTTGGTATATTTTAGAACTTAAGTATTTTCCACAAAATATGTCATTTCATAGAAATACTCGAATGCATTAACACTGAGAAGTGTATAATATTCTCATAATTTTAATCTCCTACATATATGTTGTTATATTCCTACTTTTCTTGAAAAAAATATTTCATGATTAGATTTCCTAGAAGTTTATCTTCTCTATTTTTCCCAAAGAATCAATTCTTATGTTTCTTTTGCAGATCTGGTATTTTTTATTGTTTTCTATTTCATTTATTTTAACTCTGTTCTTCCCTGTTTCTTTTCTTCTTCCCTTCCACATGGCATGTTTGTGCGTGTGTCTGTGTAGCATTCTTTTTTTTTTTTTTTTTTTTTTTTTGCACCATTCTCTGTTGAAAGTTTTGGTATATTTTTGTGCTAGTGTTTGACCTTGGGATCACATTAACTTTAGCTTTGAACCAATTATGTTATTTTTTAACATAAGGTTCTCCTTCTTATCCTGTAACATAATAATTTTAATCACTTTATTTTTACCTTAAAAGTCATTTAGATGGGAGTTTGAATTTTAAACAAAATGTTTTTGCTTTGTAAACTTTTCCACCTTTGAATTTTGTCAGGGTTTTATTTCTATGTGTGCATTAAAACAGTCTGTCATTTGTCACAGTATGGATGAACCCAGACGGCTTTATGCTAAGTGAAATAAGCCAGGCACAGAAAGACAAATACTGCAATTCAATTAAAGTGAATTTTTTTAAAAATGAACTCATAGAAGTGGAGATGTAGTTACCAGGGGCTAGGGAGGGAAATTGGGGATGTTGGTCAAAGGGCAAAAAATTTCAGTTGGATAAAAGGGGTAGTTCAAGGGATCTATTGTGCATCATAGTGCCTGAAGTTAACAACAGCTATTGTATGCTTGAGAACTGCTAGGAGAGCAGATTTAAGTGTACTTATCACACACAGAAACCAATATGTAATTTGTTGTAAAAACAGAGAAACATTTTTTGGACCACTTTTTCTGTGCTGGCACGTTTGACTAGATCTTTCAAGGCATTAACTCATTGACTTTTTACAAAATCCTATTATGTGTATCTAAATATTACTGTTTAAGAAATAGTAAGAGAAACTTTAAAAAGCTACCAAACTTGCCAATTGCCACCCTTTTAGCAAGCAATACTGGTGGTATAACTCAGAGAGTTCCACCACCTAGATCACATGCTGGCTCATTGCAAAATTTAAGGACAATCTTGTCAATGAATGCAAAGCTTCAAAGTGCTAAATTACACTCAAAAACTAAATAAATAAATGTGTGAATTAATACATGTGTGTGTTAGTTTGATTCAGCCATTCTGCAAGGTATGCATATTTCAAAATATCACATTATATGCTGTAAAAATACAATTTTTATTTTGTCGATTAAAATGTTTCAATTTTTTTTAAAGTTAAACCAAAGTGGTATGTAAGGAATAAACTAAGAGTCATTGTAAGTCCTTTTATATGCATAACCCTGAAATATCTCACTAACCTCACCCCGCTATAGGTATAGTCTCTAGCAGAGAACTTTCATTTTAATTTTTTTAAGTATAAATTGCTGACTTTTTTTTTTACAAAATTTACTCAAAAAAATCAACAGACTGTTAGAGTTGATAACTTACAGTAATAGGCAGAAAGAACAAAGGATTGAAAAATATTATTATCACTGAGGCAATCCTGTCTTCAAGGGATTTAAAGTATAGGTGGCATTGACAGTAGTAATTATGCATAGGTGCTGATGTTGTGGGAATAAAACAATACTACGAAAATCTGTATAATGCTTTGAATTTTATAATGGATACTTGACAAGTGCCAATTTTATGGCTGAATTCTTGGACCAATCACAGCATAATTTGTTTTTTAGTGTCAGTAATTATACAGTAAGCCATGAGAAAATAACTCATTGTATCCACAAGAAATGGATGATATAAATATAAAGACATTGCATAACTTCATGCTATCTTCCTGAGAACCTGCAATACAAACCACAAAACCAGTAATGTCCTAGGGCTCTGTTTAGGTGATAACCCTGGTCAGATGAACACCTAGGAACTGACTTAAAAAGAGTATTTCTTAAAGTGGAAGTAACTGTGTTAGAGTAAAAAACTTATTTATGATATTTGTGTATGGAAGACATTCAAGAGGGTTATTGATAAATAAAGTTGGAGTGACTCAAAATGTTATAGAACTAACTGAAAATTTGATTCATTTGGGCATCATATCATAAACTTGAATAAATTGTCAAAATCTTCATATATGCTTGTTACTCAGTTGCTTTATTTCCAAATAATAATATCCTGTTATGTTTGATTATTAATCCAAATTTATTTCCTACCTGTAAAAAAATTCCATAGTATTTGTGTGTGCATTTGTTTAACTTGTGGACAAAGATTTATATACTGGTGAAAAAAAGTAAACCCTCTTTTGCAACTCAGAACTCACGGTTCAGTAAGAATTTTGATATACATTGAAAAACATTGTAGACAAAAAAAGAAAAATAAAATCCAGTTCTCATTTATTCATTAAAAGGCACATACTACCATGAATGCATTCAAACATTGCTGAAAAGCTGAACATTCAGTTTTCCTCAGAGTGACAGTCTGTGTGCTAATTCTGTGAATTCACAAAAAGATTTATATTTTTATGGTTGTTGTTTCTCAATCCCTTTTATAGTCACTTCTTCCTTTCCCAATAAACAATGGTATACTCTGGAATTCTAGCCTAACATCCTTCTTTTTTTGACTGTATTTTCTATGTAGGCAAGTTCATAATTCTGGTTCAAATGCTTCCCACCAATCTTCCACACTGTATCTGAGCAATCTTTCAAATTCATAAGTTAAATTATTCAAGAATCTAATGATAATTTCTGAACAACCACTGCATGTACAACAGAATGTTAGGACTGAGAACACAAAAATAAAATAAAATACCATTTCTGCAATTGTGGAATTAGAAATCTCCTAGGTCCTCATTTTTTAGCAACATTCAATAACTCTCCCTTGCCACAAAATATGTACAAACTTTTCAGGCCTCCACAGATGCACTGGTCACCATACAATGGATACTTTGTATCCTCCATGCTGACCCCCCACCCGCCCTCTCTCAACTTCTTGAACTCCTGGAAATCAACTGCATCTCACTCACTGCAAACACTTTTCTAAAACAGAGGCCTATGAGTCAAGATTGGCTAATAAATACATTGAATTTCCTGGGCCACTGTGATTAATTTACGTGTGAATATATATATATCAGACATATTTTTCCTCCATCTGGTCATACTGATTGGTACGAAATGACTACATGGTCCAAGTTGGTCCAATTAGAAGGAATCTTGAGACTCAAATGGACACAAAGATTTTTCCACTGCACTTGAACTTGGGAAAATGTCAGTTGAAGTTACTCTTGTCGTCTGTGAACACAAAAAAGAAAACTTACTGTATTACTTAGGGTTTGATCAGGGAAATTGAACAGATTTTTCAGAATTAAGGGAAAAAATTCGGAGCAAAAATCTAACACAATTATTAAGACTGATGAAGAAATCCACAGACATTGCCTCTCTGGTGATAGGTCTGAACGTGGCATTTAGGAAGAAAAGCTGGGCATAAAATAGGAGAGAATGAGATTAAAATTATATCTCTGAAGACATGAGAACCCACAAAGATAAACGGATACAAGAGAAAAAGTGGGAATGAGAGCCTGTCTCTCACCAGCCCCAATCCCAACAACATGAGCACTTTGTTCAAGAAGCTCCACAATGCTGCCCACCTCTTACACAGGCCCAATCAATTTGTTTTGCCTGCTTACTCAATTTGTTTCAGATATTTGTTTTTAGAAAGAATTATACAGGGGCTGGGGTTGTGGCTCAGTGGTAGAGTGCTTGCCTAGCTCATGTGAGGCACTGAGTTCAATCCTCAACACCATATAAAAATAAATAAAGATATTAAAAAAAAAGAATTATATAGTACAGATGCAGGGAGGCTACTTCCACATATCTTCCTTCCATTTCCTTAACTCCCTCTCCAACATATAAATAAGTATTTGGCACTCTATTTTTGATATATTTCTTTTCTGTGTGTATTTTAATTGACAAGTTATAATTATATATATTTATGAGGTAAAATGTGACTTTCAAAGCTAATTCTGAAACTTCACTTTCACTTCCTAAATCTCTCTCACATTTCACTTGTGCAAACACTTACCTGGACTCACAGAAGGAAGGGAACCATTATTCCAGTTTTATGAGATTGACTGAATATGAAATCATGCCCTATTTGAGAAAGGAGACAACACAGAAGTCGTGACACTTAAACATGAACAAAACAAAATGTGATCCTGTTAGCATCCCCCGGGGTTGAGCAAACCCTCAAGTTTTCAGTTTTATATATCAATAAACTCTTTATGAGACTCTTTGGACTGTGTCTTTCTCACTTGCTATCAGAACCTACAAGATCTGGTACTAATAATGGAACATTACAAATGGTGGACTCCGAATCTTTCACAGGCAGAATCAAGAAAAGAGGAGGGCTCTAATAGACCTGGACTGAACAGATGATAACTCTTGCAATTTGCTTACAAAAATTACAAATAGGCAAATACACACCTATGTTAGCTTGGTTTTCAGAACTTGTCCTCACTGAGGCAACAGTACAAATGGCCTTTTATGAAAAATGTAGAATTAGAGAGTGTGCTCTCTAATTCTGTTCCTTTTTTTTTTAAAAGGACAAGCTTATTATTAAATTGGTTTAGTCAAGTGCAGACAGGGGCTGGGGAAAATGTTTTTACTAAGAAATTCATTTCTTTCCTGAGATTTTCTATTCAAGCCTGCTGAGAAATTTGAAGGTTTAGAAAGCTCTTCTCCAAGGAAAGCTATTGCCAACAAAAGCAAGAATGTAGGAAAGAGCAGAAGATTATATTAAAACCTGCACATTGCCAAGCTTCTGGGACCAGCTGATCCTCCTGTCTAAGCCTCCTTAACGCTGGGACTACAGGTACAAAAAGCTGAAGCATCTATTTAAAAAAATATTTAGAAAGGGAGATGATTACCTCTCAATAAAGCCACCATATGGATATAACTAGGTACAAGAATCTGAGTGGCGGTGTTTCTTTCCCTAGTCTGAGTATTAAGCTGTCCAAGGCAGGCAGGGGTACAGATACTTTGGGGTAGGAGTGGGGAGGGGGTGAGCAAAGCAATGTGGTAGGCAGGTATTGAGAAAGCTGTGGGAGTTTATTTTAAAACAACAACTGGTTTGAGGATATTTCTGGCCATTGGTACTAGCCTGTGGAATTGCCTAAAAGGCACAGATTGGAAATCCACATATGTTTTAAGGGACTTGCCTTACCAACACTGGAAAATAACAGGCTGCAATTAAAACGACTAAAGTTCATCTCAAATTCCTAATCCTATTGCAAAAGGAATGGGAATAGCTCATGTTCATATCTCCCATATAACCACTGAGGACAAAAAAAGAAAAATAAACCATGAAGAAGAGCAGATCCAGGGCAACTGATTAATATCTACTGACAAAAGAAGTTATTCTAATGACAAGAAACAGGGCAAAGAATTCTTTTCAAGTCAAATATGATATATGGCAGGGAACTCATGGCTCCTGTATTTTACTTCCCATTCTCACATCCCAATGGGGGTTTTATTGCAGATATTTCTGTTCTCTATCAATGTGTTATGCATATAATAGAACCCTGTATGTTGCTAAACTCTTTGTTGGTGTGTTGGACCATAAGGAACTATACCAGCCCTCATGGATCCAAATTAACCACAGACCACAGACTTGGAGCTGAATATAGTACCTAAAAAAAATAAAATTTAGAAAAAAGAATTCTGTTTATATGTTAGGTTGTGCTATGTTTTGGTGAGTTTCCTCCAAAAATCCATATGTTAAAGACCTGTTCCCCAGGGTGAAGATTTGGGAGGTGTAGGGGACCTTCAAGAAGTAGAGCCTACTGGGAAGGCCTTAGGTCATTGGAGGCTTGCCCTCTAAGGGGATTTTTTGGGACCCTAGTTTGTCCACTCACACACTTAGCTTCCTGGCTCACAGGATACACAATTTGCTTTTCTATGATTTATTTGTTTCTGTCATAATCTGTCACCCTTGTCAGAGACCCAAAGCAATGGAGCTCCACTCCTTCTTGGACTGGACCCTCCAGAACCATGAGACAAAATAAACCTTTTCTCAAAAGTTAGTTATCTTGGACATCTTGTTATAGTAACATTAATCTGACTAATACAGATAGCCAAAGGAATGGATTGTTGTTTTTATGCTGCCAGGGCCCATGACCCCTATGTTATTCAAGTGGGGTTCTATCTTCAGCTTCAGAGGTGGAATAGCCAAATATTGCACTGAAATTCAGAATCAGTAATAAAAAGGGAACAAATTGTTCCAATCAGAATGAATTACACATCAAGCTTGGGAGTGACCAAGGAGAGATGTCCTCCAGATTTGATCTATGGAGGACAATATCTGACCAAATACTAATATAATAGAAAGACATCAGAAACTGAAGAGAAAGAAACTGAGTCATGCTAATTAAAAAATCTCCTGAATTTAGAGACTCAACCCTTATATTTATGTAATGTGAATTTTTCTGTAGCATAAGCAAATTACCTTTTTAATTAATGATACTTAAAGTTGAATTTGGATTCACTTTTAACCAGAAAAATTTCCAAGTAAACTTTTTGAATTCATTTCTTTCCATAATTTTATATCATAGCCACATAAAATAAAACTAATATTTTCACCTTTTTATGACTTGGCTTTCTCTTGTTAGACTTCAAACTGGAATACCCATCTCCTTTTCCTGCCTGGAAAATTCCTACTAACCAACTAGGACTCATTTACATTTTCCTCCTTTCTAAAAGTTCTCCTCAACTTTCTGAATGGATTCATGCATTTCCAGTCATTACTATTTCTAAGATGACAACAAAAAGGTTGTGCATTTCTACCTTTTGTGCATTAGAATAAAGAGGTTTTTCTCCATCAATTGGTGAGTGTTTGTTAATCACACACTCTTAGTTGTTTTAGCTTTCTACAGAAAGTTACTAAATAGACTTTAAAATAATTCATAACAAGATATTGACAATAAAAATTATATTGTCATTTCCAAAATGTGCAGCCCTTTTGAGAGAAAATATTTTTAATTATCCCACTTCTTTTCTGAGCAGGAAAGTTATTATTCCTATAGCCAAAAAAACTTTCTCACAGAGAAGTATAATGGATGCTGGCTCCTAATTATATTCAAATTTTTCTTGCTTTTCTTTGTTGAATCCTATGAGAATTTCTTTTTTTTTTATTGACTTCAATTTCAGTAAGTATTTCAATTGACTGAAATTAATACTTTGCCAAAAGTCTATACACAAGTGCATTTTTAAGACTGACAACAAACTACTCTTTAGGTTTATATTTTAAATGCCTTACTCTATGTGGCCAGAGACCTAATTTAATGCTCAAGAGAAAAATCAACATA